TGGATCTTGAGCCTATCTTCTTGGGTGTTAGCTATTCCTGCCAGCTTAGTATCATCTGCAAATTTGGTAAATTCCCCTTCTATTCCCTCATCTAAGTTGTTAATGAAGATATTGAACAGTAGTGGCCCTAAGACGGAACCTTGTGGCACCCCACTGCTTACTTCCCTCCATGTAGACTTAGACCCATTAAGGACTACTCATTGAGTATGGTTTGCCAACCAGTTGCGAGTCCATCTAGTGGTGGTGCTATCTATTCCACTTTTTTCTAGCTTACTAAGAAGTAGGTTGTGGTCTACTTTGTCGAATGCCTTGCTGAAATCTAAATATATTATGTCCACAGTATTTTGCTAATTTAGTCACTGTGTTGAAGTGAATTAATTCCACATCATAGGCTCTTAACATTTTCTCATATTTAATCCATTGTCTACTTTTCCTAAAGGGAGCAACATTACAGTGAAAAAGCTATGTGAGTTGCAGATCTCAGAAAAGTGTTGTGTGGTGGGAACACTCTTCAAGTGCATGCAGCTTCAGCCTTCCATCTTACGGGAAATCAGTGAAGAGGTATGAGAAAAGAACCTTGCAGGTTTCATTCAAGAAGCATGGGAGGCGTCAAAGGCAGGCTCAGATATCTTCTGCATCTAAAGAGTCTGCAACTGATTTTCAGACCCTTTCAAGTTTTGCAATGGCCTTTCTGGACTCACAGTCCTAGTGCCTTGTATAATGCTGGGGTTAAGAAAACATTCCCTGAACAAATTCCTCTTGCATAATAATTGCTCAGATTTGTGAGCAGAAATATAAATTTTCTGTCTGGAAGGACTTATTGTCTGTGAAACAGACTTATTGTTTTAAAAAACTGCTCTCTTGCACAATTGGCTTAACATTTAGCTTATTTTGGAAAGACAGTTTATGAGTAATATTAAAATTGTCCCAGTAAGACATTCAGACATGACTTAATGGCAAACGTGTTGGAAATTTACCACCAAAAATTGGCTTTAAAAGCTATTGATTAGATGGATAACATCATTTTGTTGGTTTGTTTAATAAAACCCACTTGCTGTGTTCCTGAGTGCCAACAAGCAAAATAGAAACATATTAGGAATTACTGTTGATCCATTAGTCAGGACAGATTGGGAAATCAGAGCTATTCATTCTAAGATTATTTTGCCTCATAGATCTGTTTTTTGTGGTTGATTCATTGCTGTCTTGTCAATGACTGAAAATATCATAAATCCACAGGGCTGTTGATGATTTCAAAAGTATTATTTCAGAATGTTAAGAGTCTAATGATAAAAATGTGGGAGGATTCAGCCATTTCCAATTGTCTGTCTGTGCATGGGATGTTGGAGAAAAATTGTGGGATCAGGGGGCAGGTTGTTTTTGCCAACAAATGCCAAGTTTTTCCTGTGGAGGAAAAGGCTTCTGCCAGGGCTTTTTGAGTTAAATGCACAGTGGAAACTTGACTGTTTCCTGTTTATTGAACATGTGGTTCTTCAATCTTCCCTTTAACTCTGCAGTCTGAAGTTACTTAGTTATCTATTTACGGTCTGCAGTATTTTTTTCTTAAAATGCCGCCGACATAAAACAGAATTTTATTTGCTGTAAACCACTAGTGACAGTGGTAGAGAAGCCTCTGCTCTGCTTACCATGGGAGAGCAATAGAATATGTGATAATTCCTAAAAAATATTAGCAGGCATTTCTGAAGGTAGTATAGGACGGTAATCCTCGATTTATGACCACAACTGAGTCCAAAATTTTTGTTGCTAAATGAGACATTTGTTATGTGAATTTTGCATTTTACGACCTTTCTTGCCATAGTTGTGAAGTGAATCTGGTTTTCCCATTGACTTTGCTTATCCAAGATCACAAAAAAAATGATCGCATCACCCCAGGACATTGCAACTGTCATAAATAGCACCCAAATGTAAATCATGTGACCATGGGGATGCTGCAATGTTCGTAAGTGTGAAAAACCTTTATAAATCACTTTTTTCTCTGCTGTTTAATTTTGAATGGTCACTAAATGAACTGTTGTAAGTTGACGACTACTTCTAGAATAAGAGGGTATTAAAAAAGTATCTTACAAGCCACAGCAGTGCTAAAACTCAAACTATCAATTTGAAAACTATAAAAAAAAATCATTGATGGCCATAGGATAATTCAGTGCTTAAGCAGCTTTCCAGAACAGGTCTTGACGCCCCCTAAATGTAAAGCAATGAGAGATGAGTATGTTGTATCCCATCCAAGTATTTTGTTCCTAGACTTTTAAACACCTGTGTTCAAGGTTCAAAATGTATCTGGTGGTCATCTGAGCTCCTAGGAGCCATATGTTCAGCTTCTACAATGCAGCAGCTGCTGACTTAACCAGGGGAGGATGATTTCAGTGTTCTCAGAAAAGCTTGATAAGCAACTGTATCCATACATTGGTGCTCTCCTTGTGTCAGCCAGTCTGCCTTCCTTATCTGATAGTCTGCCTTCCTTATCTGATTCTTGAATTTAAGAAAAGTTGGAACAGAACATTGACAAAAAAAACCTGTAGTCTAGAATTGCAGGCAATCTTTTGACTACATGCAGATCATTGGGGGGAGGGAGGTGCAGGAGAGTGACTGGAAGAAACTTCATCAGTTTGCACTATGCTAAATTGTTTATGTTCACCGTAGCAATCTTTTTGTGAGCCTCTTTAGGCCAAGAAGTGATTTAAAGGTCCTTAGGCCAAGAAGTGATTTAAAGTTAAGCAGCTTAAAATCTGTGCTTTAGCTCCTGCCAAGTGTATCAGAAGCTCAGCATCAAAGCTGGTGCGCATTTTCTTCTTCCTCACAGCAAGACTCTGTTCATCTTCACAGCACAACCTGCCTCCCCATCCTCCCCGCCTCAAATACATTCACGAGTCAGATGAACTGATCCTGGAGGATGAGCTGCAGAGGATCAAACTTGAGGGAGAGATACCGATTGACAAGCTGGTGACAGGTGGGCTGATGACCCTGTTTTGAGCTTCTTGCCCTTGACATCTTTTGAATGCCTGGCTTTTGTGGAGGCAAACGTTCCATTCGATTGCTCACATCTGTCCCTTTCTGCTGTTTCAGGGACCATCCTTGCCGTCTATGGTACAGAGAAGGACGATGGCAGATTCCTTGTGGAAGATCACTGCTTTGCAGATATGCCAACCCAGCTGCCTATGATGGGGCCCAGCACAGACAAGTGAGGCCCCCTATAACCTTGTCCCATGACAACCTCTGCTGAAGCAGTCCAGGGTTCTCTGTCACTCAGAATACAGGTAGTCCTCAACTTATGACCACAATTGAGCCCAAAATTTCTGTTGTTCGGTGAGATATTTGTTAAGTGACTTTTGGCCCATTTTATGACCTTTCTTGCCACAGTTGTTAAGTGAATCACTAAAATTGATCAGTTTATAACTTGGTTGTTAAGTGAATCTGGCTTCCCCATTGACTTTGTGAGTCAAAGGGTTGCAAAAGGGGATCACGTGACCCAGGGACACAGCAACGGCCATAAGTGTGAACCGGTTGCCAAGTATCTGAATTTTGATCTCATGATTCATGGGGATTGTAACTGAAAAATGGTCATTAGTTACTTTTTTCAATGCTATTGTAACTTTGAACGGCACTAAGTGAACTGTTGTAAATCAAGGACTACCTGTACTTTTTCCACCAATTGCCAGTCTAGAACTGGAACAAGGAACAGGCTCCCAGGTTTGTTCTTGCAAGTGGCCATCTGCAGAGATACGATTCCTCAGAGATCTCTCCTTAATGGTGGATCAATCAATAATTACTTAATTTATGTGTCGGCCACGCTATAAGTTCCCCATCTTCCTTTGGTGGTATGGACCTTGGAGTAGCTACGATGGCATCACTGAAACTTAACAGCAAACTGACAAAACACCAGGCACCCTTTTTGGCAAAGAAAGTAAAATAGATGCATGAAACCTTGACTAAGGGTAATGCACATATTGTCCTTTTTCATTAAAAACAACAACAATCCCTTAGGATAAATGAACCTAAAATTGTTCTCCATTCTCTGGTGGCAGCATGGCATCCCTTCACCCTCATGGCTGCTGGATGCTCATTTACAGGGACCATCTTTGTGGCCGAGAGATCCTAGTGATGGGCCGGCTTCCCTTCTTTCCTTAGAAGTTTCTTTGTTAAGTGTCCCGACATAAGCCATTTCCCAAATACAAAGGCCACTCTGTGTTCTGACCGCTGTGGCTTGTATTTCACCTTGCAGATTTGTCTTGCTGGTGTCAGGCCTGGGCCTTGGTGGCAAGAGTGGAGACAGTCTCCTGGGCATGCAGCTTCTGGTGGACATGGTGACAGGACAGCTGGGCGCAGAGGGGGAGCAATCCAGCGCGGCCCTAATTTCTCGAGTCATACTGGCAGGCAACTTGCTTAGCCAGAATACCCAGAGCAGAGACAGCATGAACAAGGTGAAGGTGTCAGAAATGTGAGCCACACTATTGGTGTGCATTGCATTTATGTTGTGTCTTTCTTTCACTCTCCATTCCAAAGAGGAGGCATTTATTTATTAGGTTTATTTTTATCATATCATTATTGTAGTGTGAACAAGGCGGTGACCGTTGCTAATACTCCCTCCTATTTTCCCCACAATAACCATCCTCTGTTGGGCTGAGAGTGATTGGCCCCAAAATCACCCAGCCAGCTTTCGTGGCTAAGGCGGGACTAGAACTCAATCTCCTAGTGATTGGCCCATCCAGCTGGCTTTCATGCCTAAGGAGGGATTAGAGCTCACAGTCTCCTGGTTTCTAGCCTAGTGTCTTCACCACTAGACCAAACTAGCTAAGATGTCTAGTTCTGTTCCTTCAGATGGAAGATCACAGCAAACTCATTGATGATCTTACAGTAGTCAACCAATCCCTGTGAAAATTTCTCAAGAAAATTACTATGGAATATTAAAACAAATGGATAGCTTTAGTTCAAGCCAGGATTCCAACCTATTGTAGTCATGAAATCTCCAACGGGATTTTTATGCTTTACCAATTCAACAACATTTTGGTTTATCTCCTATTTTGAGTTGGGAAGTTTTGAGCCTCTCTACCAACCCACTCCAGACTGTGCTATCACTTTCTTTGTATGTGTTTCATTCCATCTTTTGAACTTTGATGTTAATCTTGAATATCAGTACAGCCCTAGTCCTTGTTAAAAAGAGATTTAACACAGGGGATATTTCTGCCTTATTAAATAGGGGGGAAGAGCCCTTCAGTATTATCCTTTAGCTTTTCTTGTATTCATTCAGCATTTATTTCATTTCCTTTTAATTCATACTTCACTCTTTTTTGTACCTTGTCATGCAGGCAAAATACCTCACCAAGAAGACTCAAGCAGCCAGTGTGGAAGCTGTAAAAATGCTGGATGAAATTCTGCTGCAGCTCTGTGTAAGTTTTTTTTTCCAAGAAAGGGTGAAGAAGCTTTTTCTGTTCTTCCCTCTGTCCATGGTGAGCAGTGTCCCCTGGACCTAAGGGCTTGCCCATTCTCCCCTTACAGATGTCCATCCCTATCGATGTGATGCCAGGTGAGTTTGATCCAACCAACTACACGTTGCCTCAGCAGCCCCTGCATCGCTGCATGTTTCCTCTCTCAAATGCATACACCACCCTGCAGCTAGTCACCAACCCATACCAGGCAAACATTGATGGAGTCAGGTAAAAACCAGCATCTTTGTTCTATACGGGTTGTGGGACCAGAATTTCCATCGCTAAGCAAGTCGGTTCTTACGAGAGTCTTGCCTGGTTTTATAATCTTTTATGCCACAGTTGTGAAGCAAATCACTGTAATAAGTTGTTAAATGAATCATGCGGTTGTTAAAACAAATCCAGCTTCCCCCATTGACTGTTTGTCAGGACCATTTTTTTCAGCACTATTGTAACTTTTAGCAGTCATTGAATGGTTGAACATTAAGTGAGGCCTGCCTGTATGTTACTTCTGAGTTACTCTGAAAATATATGAAGAATAAAAATATAATGCATTAAAGTCCCTTCCTTGACATTGTACACCAGAGTTTCTTTTTATTCAAATATAGAACAATTGCCATTTTTCTCTGTGTAGGTTTCTGGGAACTTCAGGCCAAAACGTAAGTGATATTTTCAAGTACAGCAGCATGTCTGATTATCTGGAAATTCTGGAATGGACCTTAAGGATTGGGCATCTCAGCCCCACAGCTCCAGACACTCTGGGTAATATAACTAAGAGATAGCTTTGCTGGGTTTTGTTTGTCTTATTTTAAGCTTTGCAGATGAGCTAAACCAACTCTCAGTTTGTTTGACCTTGGGTGTATTATGGGGGATTAAAGTCTGGTTGCTAGCAAGACCTCTCAAATATGCAGCTCGTGCATTTTGGGGTAAAGGAGGAGGGGATGTTTGCCTGTAGTAGAAGATCAGTGTCTGCTTCCTCCTCTTTGTCTTAATTTCTGTTATATATCTTAAATATATGATTAAATATGAGATTGCTCTATCATAAAAGAGTGCCCATAGTATCTAAGCCAGTGAGAATGCAATGCAGAAGCATAAAACTTGAGTTGCAAATGGAGAATACAGTACCTACATTTTCAACAATATCTCCTAGGGATGTACAGTAGAACATTGTAGGTAGAGCATTCTATGCACAGGATAAAGCATCTGTGCTTTGTCAGTGCATGGAACTGGAGCAGGTGTTAAATCCCTGCCCAGACCTGAAGCATGTGTATTCCAATAGAACTGTTCTGTGGGAGAGAGCAGGGAAAAGGAAGGCTGGATGTATGCTTTGGCAGGAAAGTAAGACTAGATCTCTTGAGTGGGTGTGGAAGGAAAGAAAGCACAGGGAAGATGGGAATGAGGCCCAGTGGCTATGCATATGTGCTGCATTTGGATTCAACCAGAAGGGAGGTAGGAAGGTGCCAGAAAAATCATAGGGCAGAAACACCATGGAGAGAAGGAGGAGCAGCAGAGTGAGGTGCACCAACTGAACCCTACTTACCCTTTCAAATTCCCTTGGTTTTGGCCCAAACCCAAATCAGCCTAAAATGATCTGTTATTTTATAGGGAGGTCACAGCCTGCCTGGAACTATCAATCTTCTGAGGCATATCATGTTGATTCCATGCAAGGAGCAGATCACATGTTTTGCCTTAAGGTTGACGGCCATTTATTTAAAGTCCCTGATCTGCCTTGTCTTTCAGGCTGTTATCCATTTTACAAGACAGACCCTTTCATCTTCAGTGACTGCCCTCATATCTATTTCTGCGGCAATGCACCCTCCTTCAAATCCAAGGAAGTCAAAGGTAAGCTAGTATTGGCAGCTGCGTCTTCTGCAAGACAGGCTTGACTTCTTCCTGGCTGAGACTTGGTGGGGTTTTTCCCTAAGGGTGTAAGCAATACATTGGAAGCCACTGTCCTGCAAAAGACAAAGTTCCACTGCCAGATAGAAAAGAATAAAAGCAGGTTGGGAAGCCCAGGATGCCTCACTTGAGTTTCATTGTCCCAGCAAATATCATGATTTAACCACGGTTGATTAAATGAACATATTTGCTGGATCGCCCATCATGCTAAATCAGAGTTGGCAAAGAGGAACCAATAATTTTCTGGGGGGGGAAAGGTTTTTTTTGGGGGGGGGGGGGGGCGGACTGCTTGTTTAGTTGCTTTTAAAATCAGTAACTGTTCATATAAATATTAGGATTGACACAGGATATAGACCTGCTCTTTGGTTCCCCCCCTTCTGTAAAGTGGATTGCTCCATGATGGAGTTTGCTGTCTCTTATGGGGTTTGTTGCAGAAAGGAGCCTGAACCATGCAAAACAAAAGGGGTGGAGGGTGGCAGACATTGCCAAATCATGGAATGTTCTCAATATACCATAGAAATTTCTCACAATTCCTCTGTGCAGAGGTTTTGATGCGGCCTTTGTAGCTGTTGCCAGCATAACATGACTGGCTGAAAAAGTTCACCCTTGTGTAACCAAGATGTACTTGAGCCTACAATATTTTGCCCAACAGTCTGGGGAGTGAGTTAAACCAGGCAGAACATTCAGATGCAAGATTATATAGTTTTCTGTTATTCAATGTAAGTCATAAATCTATCCCAATAAGTTAGATAGTTCAATGTTTTTGTAAGTACCGAGACCCTTTCGCATCTGCATCAGTTCTGGTTTTATAAGTTGGTTTATTTTTATTAGATATTTTTGTTAGCAGATCCCACAACAGCTACATTAGCCTAAAGCACTGGAATCTGTGTTATACCAAGAGCTTTGTTCATCCAGCCCACCACCACTTGCCCCAAGTCTACTGAAAGTCAAATAAAAACTGCTCTAGGTAGAAAAAAATGTCAATCCCCTGAATTGCAAGTTGTTTCCTAGAATATTTTATGTCTTTACCGTCCCCTAATCCTTAATCCTTTCTGATGAGAGCAGGGCTTCAACTTGGGAACTGTACAAAGCACACTCTCTGCCATGGTAGTAGGGCAGGAACGGGCAATGTGAGTGCATATTGCAAACACGGCTGAATCTGGCGTCTCCCTTGGTGGCTCTAAAAGTCAGTGGTGAGAGAGAGGCAAATGTTAATACAAACCCTGATAGAGATTAGGAAAGCTTTCTTAAAAACCAACAGCAATCAGAAATGTTTTTCCCAACTTGGGAAGAGGGGGACAAGAGAAAAATACTGACCCTTTCCTCATCCTCACTTGTTCCTTCCAAAGTTCTGATAGTGGCCTTCACTTTACTTCCTCCTTTGCAGGAGAAGATGGACAGAAAGTCTTGCTGGTGACACTTCCTGATTTCAGCTCAACACAGACAGCTTGCTTGATCAATTTGTGCGATCTCACTTGTCAGCCGGTTACTTTCTCGGCCTTTGGTGATGACGAAGAAGAAGAAGAAGAAGAAGAAGAGACAGTGATGGAGACTGGTGACTGAGAGACATGGACTTAGGTCTCCTTCTTTCTGGAACTTGGTAGTCATCCCTGTTCCTGCTTTTTACTGTAAAGTTTGACCTTTGGTTCAGATAGATAGGAATAGAATAAAATATTCTGGTTTGTTCGTATATGTTTGATCTTCATGACCAAAAACAAGGGAATTTCTTGTATAATTCATTTTATTCAATGAATACAACTGTTGGAAAAACAAAAAGGCTCAAGGTGACCCTGGACTGCCTCCTGGGCAGCAGCTGCTTCAAACTTAGCAAATCACAATCTTCCTTCTTGACTGTTGCAATCAAGGCAGCAGCTTTCCTTGATGTTAGGAGGACCACAACGAAGTGATACTGACTTTGTAACTGGGAAACAATTAGGTTGTATCAACTCCTCACTTTGGAAAATACCCAGAATGCTGGGTATATGGGAATTCAAGCCAAATCAAGTGAGCAAAACTGAAAGAAAGTCATTTATGCTTTGGAAACTTAACCTGATTGGCATATTGAGAAGTCAAAAATAGATTTTTCCCCTCAATCAATTTTCAACTTAATTTTTGCTTGGTTCTAGTTATGGCTCTTATTCTAATGCTTTAAGAATTCTTTCACTTCTTAAATAGAACTGGAAAGAAATCTGAATTTTTCATATAGCACATCTCTTTCATAAAAGTATTAAAACTGCAAATAAACAGTCATGGGAGCACTTGGATAAAACTGTTGGGTTGTGTCCCAAATATGTGTCAGTGCTTGATGGGCTCCATTATTTCAGTGGGAAGCATGGGCAAGCAACAGCTGTGGGCCACTGGATAAAGGCCTAGCCTGCTTCTCTCTCCCCATTGCAAGAATCCTACACTGTAGATTACAGTAAAGCAGCTGCCCCCAACCTTTTGGGCACCAGGGACTGGTCTCATGGAGAAAGTTTTCCATGGACCGGAGGGGGCGTGGTTTTGCATGCTCCCTACATCCTATGGATGGGGCTTTGCTTGTTTGCGCTGCCCAGTTGCTGGCATGCTGAGGACCAGTGCTGGTCCTTGGACTAGGGTGGTGGTGCTGGGGACCCCTGCTGTAAAGAACATCATAGAGTAGAATGGAGTAAAAAAAAGTGAATATACCAGAACGATAAAGATTAAGCCAGATTATGTTCTTAGCTTGTTCCCTATTCTATAGTCAGTCTGAGATGTACAATTGGTTCACCTCAACTTTCCATTCAGCAGGGCTTTAGTGTTCCAGCCCTATATAGAAAGCTGAGCCTTTTTATCCAAAGAAGAAAGAGAAAATTGTTCGTTGGAAAGTTGTGTGTGTTTGAAAAATAAGTGATACAAATGTGACGGCTCTTGGAGCCTGCTTAAAGCAAGGGGTTCCTGGTGGGTCCTAAAGCTAGGAGAACGTGCCTCCACATACTACAGTGAATAGATATCACTACCTGCTCCAGAAGAGGCGGAGTAGGCTTTAGGAATGTCTTTAGAGCGTTCCTGGCCTGCAGGCCTCACAAACTTGACAGACTAATCCTAATCGCCAAAGTTCACTGTGTACGTCTCTGCTGTGGTCATGGGAAAGGCTGTGCCAGTCATCTCCGCCTCGGTTATTTCCTCCGTTACGGTTTCCCATTCCGTCACCGTCTCCGTGTAGACATCGGCATCCCAAGAAGTGGCTGATTCTGCTATGGGAGGCTCTTGGCTCCACGGTGGGAGCGTGGTGCTGCTGAACCAGAAGGGAAATGCAGAACTTGGAGGAACGGTGGTGGGAATGCTTGTGTTGGTTTTCCGCAGCCGTTCAAGCATCTTCTGGCGCAGGCGAGCTCTTTGGCGCATCCTCATCCTCCAGCGCATGCGCTCCTTAGGTGTCATGGGTCGTCCCAGCATGGGCCTCCCAAGAGGGTGGTTGCCGTTCATGGCTATGATCTCTCGGATGCGTTTCCAGTTGGACCGTGACAAGATGAAGTTGCACTGGGTGGCTCCGATGTCATAAAAGACGCTGCAGGTTTTGACACTCGGATTGTAGGCCTCGGCCTTGGCTGTAACACGGTATTCGCCAGGATTCAGGATGCGCCAGTAATCGCCTCCACTTGCTGGAAAACAAGAGAGCAACATCTGATGAGCCATGGTGGCACAGTGGTTAGAAAGCAGTATCACAGGCTAATTCTGACTGCCCACTGCCAGCAGTTCAGCAGTTTGAGTCTCCCCAACCCAACGTTGACTCAGCCTTCCATCCTGAAGTCGGTAAAATGAGGACCCAGATTGTTGGGGGTAATATGCTGACTCTGTAAAATGCTTAGGGCTAAAAAGCACCATGAAGCTGTATATAAATCTAAGTGCTATTGCCATGATGCTGAAACTGATTGCAAATAAGGAAATGTGTTCCAGTATTTGAAGGGTTGCGGAGAGTCAACCTATTTTCCCAAAGCACAAGAAGACAAGACAAGAAACAATGGATGGAAATTAAAGAGGGAGAGAAACTAGAACTAAGGAAAATTTCCTAACACTGAAAACAACCAGAGGAACGGCTTGCCTTCAAAAGTTGTGGGTGCTCCATCACTGGAGGCTTTTGGTCTGAAATGGTATAGGATCTCCTACTTGAGCATGGGGTTGAACTAGAAGACCAAGGTCCCTTCCAACTCTGTGTGTATGAAAAAAGGCACATGCGGCTTCCGGTTTGAGCTTCTTCAGCGACAGACCGAAACCTCGTCTCTGCGAGGCTTCGATCCGTGCTTGCCGCTGGAGCGCCCCGAGCTGGCTGGTTTCGGGGCTAAGCCACCCTGTAGAGGTGGTGAAGAGAGGGGAGACTGCCAGCAGGGTTGAGGAGAGCTGCATCTCTCCTCCCCAGCTGGCCATTACTCCCTTTCCCGAAGGCGGTTGCAGCGGTGGTCAGAAATGGCCACCACAAAGAAGAACTCAACCGGAAAAGAATGTGCAGGAGGAAGATAAGAAGAGAAAGTTTTGGTTGACCGGGTCAAACAGCAAAAGGAACAAATAAGGTACCCTGGAATTGAAACTATTAAAAAACAATAACATTGTTCCCTAAGAAGTTTTTTAAGCTGCGAAGGAGAGAGAAAAGGGAAAAGATTTGGTTTTCTCTTTTTCCTATACTGACAGCTAAGAGACTTAAGCAAGAAATTGGAAAAAAATCCACTTTGACATCAATAGGAAGAGAAAGTCGAAAAAGAAATAAGAAGATATAACTCAGGACTATCTGGATTACTTGATGATTTCTGGATTCTTGGTTATTGTTTTGAATGACTAAAATCAATCGGGTGGTTGTTTAAAACTGTTTAAAATGGCTCCACTTTTAGAAGAACTGAAAATGGAACTTAAAAAGTACAAAGAAGATGCACAAGAAGGGAGAGGTTCTTTTGGCTTCGTATTTCAGTTTTTAGAAATGGAGATTTGGAATTATGAGAAACAACAAGAAATGCCTGCAGAACAAGAAGATTGCGACAAAGAAGAAGCCATCTTTAATGAACAAGTAATCTTAGTTAAAGGGGGGAAAGAGAATGGAAAGTTTAAGATTGGGAAAAACAACTCCAAAAAAAAAAAAAAGAGTGAAAAATAAGTGTAAAATCAGAAAGCAACAGAAGAGGGAAATGCAGAAGAGAGAATTAGAACTAGAGAGACAAGGGGGTTAAAAAGGGGAGGGAGAAGATGAGAGGGAAGAAAGAAAGGAAAAGAAGTTATAAAGGACAGAAGCAAAATATAGAGAAACGGCCTATTTAGAGATAATGGGTGAAAACTTAATGGAAAAAGGGATTCTGCAAAGGTACATAAGATAGTATGGTTATATTAGAAACAAATAATTTTAGAAAATATGAAACAATGTATGATTAAAATGTCTGATAAAATAGCTACCGTAATTCAGTAGAATGCTTGTCAATAAATAAATGTAACAAAAGGTATATTTAATGATTTATAAAACATATGTGAAGAGAAATAAGGGAAAAATTAATTATGGAGATTATATGTGTTTTTAATGAAGTATGATATTTAATTGAAAAGAAGTGTTAAAGATGTTAAGATTTTAATGATTATTAATGATAGAACTGAACTGGAATGGAATGAGGGTTTATAATTACATATATTTACAATCTTTTTTTTAAAAAGAATATAGTGTGTATTATAAGAATGTACCAAGCAGAATTCGATTGGAAGTTATGTATTATGTATTATATTGAAGGTCATAAACTTAAGGTATATATTGAAGTTTAAATAAGAGTTGAATGGATGTAATTAAAAGATATAAAGGTGTCATACTCCAATTAGTAACTACAGGAGAAAATTTGTTTAATGAGAAAAGATAATATGAAATTGAAACAGGACAGACAAAAGTATAAATATAATGATTTGAATTGAGATGAGATAATCAAAATAAAATTGAGAAAATTAAAAGAGGGGAAAAACTATATAGAAAATGTAAAATAGTATAAGATATGGAATAGAATACAAAAAGGAGCATGAAATTGAGTTTTGTGTCTGTATAAATAAGTTCAACCCGGGACCATGCTATTTTCAAAAAAGATGTTTTACTTGTATTTTGTATGTGTGAAAACCCAAATAAAACTTTATTAAAAAAGAAAAGAAAAAGGGCACATGCTTTGCAAGCAAAAAGATCAAGGAGATGTGTGTGCTAAGAAGGCTCGATGAAAGGACTTGTATATTTGTCTTCACTATTCTAGGCATACCTGTTTGCACATCGTGTTTGATCCCCATCACAGAAATGGATGCATTTGCAATAGGATCTCCTTGTTGATCTGTCACTGTGCCCTTAATACCGCGATGTACCTGTAAGACACAGCCTTTAAGGTTGGAAAATTACATTTTTATTTTAAATGGCTTAGATGTTGCCTTTCCTGTGGTCATCTACCTCAGATCTCCAGGCTTCCAAAAAGTCCATTAAGCTACTATGAAAAGACAGGTGCCTGCTAAGAACTCAGGTGGCTCACAGAACATGCATGTATTCCAAGTTAGTGCACTAGATATTTTGCATAGTACGCAACGGGGAAAAAAGCATGTTCTGGTAATCTCCATCCACCAAAATGTTTGAGGGTGCTCAGAGAAGGACTGTAAAGGAACTAACCCTGTAAACACTGTCCAACCATCCAATATTTCTACTGTCCTTGAATAGCAGAGACAGAAGAGCTAACCAAGCTTTCAATGCTCCAGCGAAGTACATAAAAACAATGTAGTTTAGCAGATTAGGCACTAATCTTGAAGTAGAGATACTTAGATTTAAATACCTGTCCAGCCTAACAGTTTATTAAGTGACTTGGGGCCAGTCACTTAGCTCAAGATAATAAGTTCATTGGTTTATTGATGGGATAGTAAGTAGAGACTCTGCTCGAGACACCACCTTGAACTCCAAAGAAAAGATGGCTTATAAATGTAATTTTAAAATGTACATTAATCATTTCCCTCTTTTCCATTAAAATGACTATTTGGAGACA